CTAGTAATTGCACATGTATTCACTCCCTCCCCGGCCATGGGATTGCTAGCACAAAGATAGGAACAGTCAAGCTTCTCCAGCAGCATTTTATTTTAGAGGAATTTTCTATTCTCTGTTGTTTTGAAACCACATGCAGGGAAACCCCATTAATGCCCCCCTCCCCCACTAGCTGACAGGACATGCGCACCTGGGGCACTGCGAGGGAGCATTTTGCCACAGCATCGTAAGCCTCTTTGTATCTTCCCAGTTCTTTTAAAGCTTTGGATTTCCGGTAAAGGGCTCTGAAATTATTTTCATTCAATTTTAAAACTATCCCACATTCTTCTAGAACTCTATCATGTGACCCCTGTAAGAATGAAGGACAGAATAGTGTCAAGCATTTTGTGATTTGAATCTCAGGCTGCAAGCATATTCCAAGACAAGGCATGCCACACAGGCAAACACAAAATGTACATCAGGGAGCTGCTAGGCCAGGTACTTTTTAAGCTCTTATGATCTTAGAATGCTCATTGCCAAGACTGCTATTATTACTGCCATTTTATGGTGATGAAACTGTTGTATTTTGCTATATTTGTGTTAAGAATCATATAGTGTTTGTTTTTACTACTATACTGTTAACTGCCTGGGATGACAAAATGCTGATTCCACCACACCCACCAGTGTTACAGAATGGAAACCTAGTTCTTGATAAGCCATGAGCATTTTTAGGAAGCACCTACCTTCTTGGAGTAACAGGCTATACGATTAACATGTAGTTTCTCTAATATTTCATCAGAAATGTGGATTCCTTCAGAATTGGCATAATCAGCTATGTTCAAAGCCTCAGAATAATGGTTCAGTGACCCTTCCCAATCACCTTCTCGGTATGCATCGTTTCCTTCATTAAACAGGTTTTTAACAAGTTCTCGTATGAAGATCTGAAACATAAATCCTCGGGTAAGTCACGCAGGCAGTTCTGCAGCTCAACAAGGGGCGCTTTGCTATTGTCGGTAACTTGTTCTGGAGTGGCTCCAGGCAGAGGCGCAAAGAAGTGCATCTCATAGCAAAGCTTTATATCAGTCTGGAGTAATGTTCCATCTAACAAAAAGCAGTAAGGAAGTCCTGAAACCTATAGCCCTTCTGCTACCTCCACACAACCACTACTAACAACCAATCACTAATTAGACAATGCTGACATGGTCAATAAGGTAAGAGATTAAATCATCACATCCTACAACAGCCAAGATTCTAGAAGTTTCTACTCACTGCTGAGACCACAATGCCTCAGGTAAAGAAGTTCAGAAAGGAAGGCCAGTTACCTCATATTGTTCTTGAGACCCAGGGTATGGTAGAGTAGACCTAGAAACCACAAAGATAAAGTATCAGATCACCTTCAAGGATCTCGCACACCCAAGACACTTGCCACTGAAATTCTCGACCTTGGCTTCTACCCCCACTATACACTTGCCACAAGAATGAACTTTGCAATCCAGATTATCTCTAAAAACACCAAGGAGGAAATATGATTGGAGTATAATATTGCTAACAGGGCGAAATGTGCAGTTCCATGTATAGCAGATATTCCAAAATAAAGATGCGATCAAATGCAAATTAAAGAGTACTATGCAACACAACATATGAGAGACAGTGCATCAAGAGAATTTTTTGCCCAGGTTTTATTTTGTAACAGCAAAGCTAGCTAATATTTAATAGAAAACTTAGCACAAGGTATGTAAGAAGAAAAAATGTTGCGTCATGTTTTAAGCAGAGGTTCAACAGTTCTCAGACACAGCTATCCAGTTACTCAAAGTTCTTACTGTATAAACTGCAGCCCTTTCTTAATGTCCTGCAGCCTGATGCTTCTGTCCACTGGAACACTGGACATGTTATCCTGAGCACGTTTGTCTTCAGTACACAGCTTCTGAAACAAAAGTCACAGCCTGTCGCTGGCTTGCAAAACAATTTGTGAGAAGTTATGGAAATACTCAATTCCAATATCAGTCCTAAATTATTGAACATCAACTCTAATAAAATAAAATCCATGTTTACAAAAGAAGTTTGTTTATATTAACTATATTGATAAAAAATCTTTAGAGTTGTTTCACCTGAAGTGATCCATACATTAATTAGCTTTGCTAATTTAGACCAAGTAAATAAATTAGGCAATAAATATTGCCTGTGTTCTATCATACCCTCTGAAACTGGGATCTATATAAATATAATAACCTGCAGAATCTCATTTTTCAAAAAAAAAAAATCAACATATTTCTAATTCCAAGGGGGGGAAACTAAAATGCACCTTTACTAGCAGTTCTTTTCCCAATACTTGGGACTACAATTCCCCAAGATATCCACCCAGCAAGGTTGTTGCAATATATTTTAAACCAATCCAGCGAATAGCAATAAACCCTTTAATTTATCTGAGAAAATCGAGTTCTATTTCACAAAAAACATGGTGCACATTAAGATGTTATAAAATTTTTTTGCTGCTTTAGCTCATTCTAAATATTGCAACATAAATACTAAACTATTACACAACAAAAGTAAATGCAAATAAATACAGCCATATTTTAAAGAAATTTATCAAGACAAGCCCTACCATCTAGAACAAAACAAAATACTTCAAACAGTGCAGGACTTTTCATTTGAATATTTCTGAAATATTCCAGACAACTGGTCTACCTCAACATATTTTAAGAAAATCTATTCTACAATATGATTAAGAGACTCACCATTAATCATGAGTCCGTTTTAACATATAATCCATTTTAACAGAGAACAGCCACACCAAAAATGAAAAGGAAAGGAAAACCAAACCAAAGAACAAGGCTACTATACAGGTAGTCCTCGAGTTACAACAGTTCATTTAGTGACTGTTCAAAGTTACAACAGCACTGAAAAACGTGACTTATGACTTTCTCACACTTATGACTATTGCAGCATCCCCATGGTCCTGTGATCGAAATCCAGCCGCTTGTCAACTGACTCATATTTATGACAGTCGCAGCGTCCCGGGGTTGTGTGATCCCCTTTTGCGACCTTCAGACAAGCAAAGTCAATGGGGAAGCCGGATTCACGTAAAACAACCGTGTTACTAACTTAACAACTGCAGTGATTCACTTAACAAATGTGGCAAGAAAGGTCACAAAATGGGGCAAAACTCACTTAACTGTCTTGCTTAGCAATAGAAATTTTGGGCTCAATTATGGTTGTAAGTTGAGGACTAACTGCACCTGCGTTTGGTTCAACTAACCTTTCTACCGAACCTCTCTGCCAAAGAATTACCGGCTGGGGCTCCAAACCTCTGAAAGGAACCACACCCGAGAATCATAATTTGAAGGTTTACAATAAGAAATTATTATAAATCACCCCAAGTGACTTTAAGACGGTCTCAATCCTATAGATAATCTGAATAGTCTGTAAATATGATTTTATTCCACATATCCCGTTTATGAGTTGCTTTCCTGCCCACAAGCTCTCAAGGGCAGCAGGGAACAAACCAGGACCCCATTTTCCCCTCCCAGCCCACCTGTAGCACAAGCTCCCCATTCGAACATGAAAAAGACTCTAACAGAACGAGGAATAAAACTCGAACTGTATAAAACCACATGCCAGAATCGCTCCCAAATTGAAAGGCGGATCACAAGAAGCAAATGTGACGACGATCCCGGGAAGCTGTGCCGGGAGCTCCTCCCGGGGGGCGGGCGGGCCCTGGGCCGGCAGGGGGTCAACGAGGGGAGGCTGCTTTTCGCCAGGGGGCCACGCGGCCCAGGGGAGCCTCCACCGAGGGCCACAGGTCCGCGCGGGGGCCGGCTGGAAAGGCCTCTCGAGCGCCGGCCTCGGGCAGGGCAGGGCCTCCGCGGCCCGGCAGGAGGGGGAGCAGAGGCGCTGTCGGGCCGGGCCCGCCCCCCTTCCAGAAGGGCGCCTCCCCCTCCGCTTGCTCGTCCTCCGCCCGGGAGCCCAGCACACCGGCCGCCTGTCGGCCGGGGTCGGTGCGGGGGAAGCGGCCGTTCCCCTCCCGGGGGAGCGCGGGGCCCTCGCCCGCCGCGGGGGAGCTGGGCGGCCCAGAGCGAGCTCACCTCCGTTATCGCGCCCGCGTCTGCTCTGGCTGCGGCCTCTCCAGCTCCCTCAGGCCGGGGCCGCGTCGCGTCGGCGGAGGAATCGGCGTCGGCGGCTTTCGAGGAGCGTCGCGGCGAGCCAGGCCCTCTGCCTCTCTCCCCCCTCCGCTGTTTCCGCCTAGCCGGCATCCCCTTCCGGGCTGGGCCTCTGGCCACGTGAGCTAGAGCGCCCCCTCTCGACCGGAGGCCGCCTGGAGGCGCCACCACGCGAAACGGCGGTCGAAGCGGGCAGTCGCTTCGGGGGCGGGGCCACGGGCGACTCGGGCAAAGGGCCGGGTCGAGATTGCTCTCCCTCTCGTTCCCATTGGCCGGAAGAAAAAGCTTCTCCCTGCCCATTGGTTACTTTGCATTGATGGACGCTTGTGATAGGTCAATCATTTCGATCCTACGGTCCCGCACTATCTGAGCTCCCCCTTTAAAGGGCAACCGAGGTGTCCCTCAGCTCAGGAAGGAGGGTGGCTAAAGAGGGAGCGTGCTTGTCCGAAATTGTCCCCCCGCCCTATAGGCAGAGCCGTGTGCAATCCGGACGCTAACAAGAGAGGGAGGCGTGGAACGCCCTGCTTGCGGGGGGGTCCGAACACCTGGTCCGGCCACAGACTTGCTCCGCTCCTAGGGGATGGAGATGTGCGCCTGCGCGCGGCTTTCCGCGAAGCGAGAAGTACCCCCCCGTAGGCGGTGCTAAGTGGAGGCGTGGTTCGAAGTCGCGACGTCACAGAGGGGCTCCCTGTGACGCAATGCGCCTTCTGGGGAAGCCCGCCAGCTGGGCGGGGGTCTCGGCTTCGATCCAGATTCTGCTCCCGCGGGCGGGACCGGCGCGGAACGCGGCTGGAGGTTTGGCGCCTGTTCTGACGACCTCCGGGGAAGACTCGTGTCGCTGCCAAAGACCCGAAGTAGAGTTGTAAAATGCCCGGCCGCGACTTTGACTCGCTTACTCGGCCGCTGCTTCTCTTCTCGTTGGGGCTCTTGCTCGGCCTGGCCCGTCGCGTCTCCTCGCTGGACAACGGGCTGTTGAGGACGCCCCCGATGGGCTGGGAGCCCTGGGTGCGTTTCAAGTGCAACACGGACTGTGCGAAGGACCCCGAGAACTGCATCAGGTGCGGGAGCGCGAGGGTCGACCGGGGCTCCCGAAGGCGCCTCCTTTTCGCAACCTGCATGCTGGTGGAGGTGATGCCGGAGACCGTCGGAACGCCTTTTCAGAAATCGCAGACCTTTGGGAGCTTAGATGGGTTTTGCGCAGGGAAGAGATTCCCACGATCCGCTGCACCTGCCGCCGCCTCCTGGGATGAAGGAAGCTTCCTGGGAGACCAAGGCGCCTTTCCTTTGCCAACAGCGAGCACCTGATCAAGGCCATGGCGGACCGGCTGGCTGCGGACGGGTGGAAGGAGCTGGGCTACGAGTACGTCACCCTGGATGACTGCTGGGCAGCTGGCAAGCGGGACGCCCTCGGGAGGCTCCAGGCAGACCCCCAGAGGTTCCCCAGCGGGATGAAGGCCCTGGCTGACTATGTGAGTGCAAGGGAGGGCCTGCCCTAAAATGGCCAAAAGCTTTCCAGTGGATAAGAAAACATCTCTTACGGCCCCAATATGGAACATCAAGCATCTGTGTTTCATGATTCATTAGTGATTAAGCAAGGCTGCACATAAATAGAACCGCTTGATCTCTTTAACCCAATGCAGTCGGGCATGCTGTGTTACATCCCTCTGAAAACGGAGCCTAGGCCAGGCCTTAAGAGCTGCATCCAGGGAGGGTCTCACAATGCAGCAACCTGGCTCAGCTCCGGCTGCCAGTTGGGCCCCTGAGATCCTCATCCCTCGTGCACTGGGCATCCTCAGCCCCTTTCCCCTCTCCTCCTCTTCCTCCTCCTCCTCCTCCTCCTCCTCCAGGTTCATTCCAAAGACTTGAAATTTGGCATCTATAGTGACTTGGGCAACACCACCTGTGCGGGTTATCCGGGCACCACCCTGGATACTGTGGAAACGGATGCAAACACCTTTGCAGAGTGGGGGGTCGACATGCTAAAGCTGGACGGCTGCTTCTCCAACTCCTCCCTCAAGGCCATAGGTCAGCCGTCCCGTGGCGGAAGAGTGGCTGGGGGAGCACATGAGGGAGAGGGGGGGTCTGGGGACAGGTGGAAAAGAGCAAACCAGCTCATTCCAGATGCTGCCAACACTTCATGCCTGCCTCCGCCAGCCAGGGAGGGGCAGAGTTTGCACGAGGTTGTTGCTGCTCATTATGGCAACATTGCAATTTGTTGGGAACATTGGGGGGGGGGTTTCCCCTTCAGGCACCAGAGAATGAAAGTCAGAACACATCTTTTGAGGGAGGCCAGTCGAGTTGGGGTTCTCAAAGTGGCTTCCAAGACAGCCCCCTGCTGTGCAAGGAATGGAGGCTGATGGCTTTGGGGGACTCCCGGGGGGGGGGGCAGGGGAGGTGGCTGAAGTAACTTAAGCAGCCTCTGCCTGCGCAACTGACGGTCTCTTGCCACACTCTCTGGGCATTTTTCAGGCTACCCCAAAATGAGCCGAGCGCTGAATCAAACTGGGAGGCCCATCGCCTTGTCTTGCAGTTGGCCAGCTTACGAAGGGGGTCTTCCGCCAAAGGTAATCTCAGGCCCCGACTCCCGCTTTTTCCAGCAAAGGGCCTTTCTGCAGCAGACCACTTTCACGGGCATGTTTCTTTGAAGTCCGTGGAAAGAAGGAAAGACACCTTGTGAACCTAGGATGAAACTCTGGGCTGCGGTGTGTTAAGGAGACAAAAGTGTGAGGCAAGGATGACAGCGGGGGGGGGGGGGCAGGGGAGCAAAAGCCAGTACCTCTCCCAGGTTTTGGATAGGCCTCTTTCCCGTGGCTGTTGAGGTCACTTCCTCCTATTCTTCCAGAAAGCATAAAATGGCAAATCAAATCAAAATCAAATCTGTATTCCAGCCATAGACCCCACTCCATTAGTTGTGGCAATTCTTTTGGTTTTCCTTTGGTCTACTAAGCAGTTTTGAGGATAGCAGTAGTTATAATTGCTTCTCTCCAATACGTAGTAGGCCTGTCTTTCATTTCAGAAGCATAAATCTGCTTCTTTTAATTAAGGTGAATTACACCTTACTGGGCCAGATTTGTAACTTCTGGAGAAATTACGCTGATATTGAAGATACTTGGGACAGCCTCTTCCACATCATTGAATGGTACGGAGACAATCAGGATATCCTGCAGCCAGCCTCAGGGCCTGGAAGGTGGAATGACCCCGACATGGTGAGACTCTCTTCCTTACCTCCAACCCAGGCCCTGAGCCCGGGTAAGAGTTTGAGATCTGATGGCCATTCCTCGGGGACCCTGAAGATCAGTTGCCAGTAAAGGTGAAGGGAAAATGCGCAGAAGTGGGCTGGGAAATGCACAACTAGAAATTCTGCTTTCAGTGCCCAACTCTACAGTTCTGAAGTAGCTCTGCTACTGGGGTCTGTGGGATCCCAAAGTGGGGGGGCTTCCTTTGATTTCTCTTCCCGGCTGCCTGGCATCCTGTCTCCTTCCAGCTGATTGTCAGTGACTTTGGCCTGAGCCACGAGCAGTCGAAGGTGCAGGCAGCGCTGTGGGCGATCCTGGCAGCCCCCTTCTTCATCTCCTGCAACCTGAGGAACATCTCAGAGGAGGCCAAAGACATGCTGCAGAATCCGCTCCTGATCTACATTAATCAGGACCTGAGGGGAGTTCAAGGCAGACTCCTTGCCAGGGTGTGTGTGGGGGAAATCTCTGCACCAGAGCAGGGCTGTCTTGTGCCTGGGAAAACGGTTCCCTTGCCCTGGCACTTCTGCCACTGGGTGGCAGCCTTTCTCTGGGCGCAGGAGCTGTTGTGAGTCTTTGAGTAAGTTGGATGGGGAAAAAAACACATCTGTGGCCTGAGCAAGGTTGGTCACCGCTCTGTGCCCCGCTTGTCTCTCAAACAGAAGCAGAACTTTGAAGTATGGAAGAGGCCCCTGGTCAATGGCCAGTATGCGGTCGCAGTCCTGAACAACAGAACTGATGGGGCCCCACGGTCATTTGCCACAACCCCGAGCCTTCTGGGAATCTCAGGCTGCAGCGCAGGCTATAGGCTCTATGATGTTCTGGACAAGCTGTCAATGGGCGTTTATGCCCTCAATGACACCATCAGTGCCAAGGTGACGCCCACTGGAGTGCTGCTGCTCTTCCTGAACCCGCTGTGCTAATCCTTTCATTGCGGAGGGCGAGGGAGCCCAGGGTGCATTTCTGGGAAGGACTGGCTGCTTTCTCCTTGCAGTGAAGCTGAAGGTAAAGTGAGCCCCCCACTTCCTATCTGTCCTGCTGGTGCTGCTTCTCCCAAGAGGGGTCTCAATTTCTGAAGACCCACTTTCTGAGGCAGAGCCCTTACCCATGTCACAAAGTGCAAAGAACGGAGAGCTCACTGCAACTGCAGGCCTGCACCAAAGCTCGTCTGTAGCCAATGCTCCTGGCTGGGACTCAGTGACTGTCACGAGGCAGGGACCTGCTTGGATGCTGGCTGCATCCCCTTCTCAACGGGGTTGGATCCAGAAGCTGCTCATCTTCCCTGGAATTAAATGGTTCTCATTTCAGTTGCTCCAGTAATCCAGTATTTGTTGCCTTCCAAAAACCAGGAGAGGCAGAGGGGGAGTGGGGCAACTCACCTGCTCTCCAGTGTGTCTCATATGCTGGTGCACCCAGCATCTGCTGGGCCAAACGAGGGGAAGCCGAGGAACCAATTAAGTTTGCATGCGGGGGCGGGATTTGCAGGTTGCTGATGTTGCTTTGGTTCAGAAAGGAGGGGAGACGTCTCCGATTGACCGGTTTTCCTTCACCCAGCCCCAAATCTCTTTTTCCCCCACAGAAATCTTCTCTGAAAGCCCACATTCAGCTTCCGCTTGGAGATTCGGAGGGAGGCGGCCAGCAGAACCAGCAAAAGGGTCCAAAAAGCAGCCACACTGCGCAAGGCGAGCGAAGCCAGAGCAGGGGCCTGAGAGGCACCCTGCGAGCCCCCCTCGAAAGGCTCTCAAATGTGATGACCTTCCTGGAGAGACTTTCCATGGCTGAGGGGCTACTGGGGGCTCCCCCGGCTCTTTTTCCCTCAGAGGGCTGCGAGAGCACCCCTTTGGTCTGGGAAGATGTGGCTGCTTTGAGGGAAGCCAAAATGGAGGAGCTTTGATGCACTTGATCTGGGTCATCTTAAGATCGTATCCAGATTGTAGTCATCTGTTCTGAATCCTGCTAGGGTACATGTGTATTATTTTTCAATATTTTGAGTTTTAGAATGTATCTCTTATTTATGTGGAGAAATGCCACAGTAATAAACAACCCTGAAGATCTTCCTGCTCCAATGTCCATGTTTGTGGCTACCACTTCAGTCTGCAGAAGCTGCCAATTTGGAGTCTCAATGCGCCATCTTGCAGTTGCCCATCAAAATGTGGCAGATCAAGAGTAGCAACCCTGAGCATCAGTGAAAGACACATTGCCGCATGACTGATTTGAGCACCTTCTGAGGAGCATCGCAATTTCCATGCTGATTGTGCCTCATGGGAATTTGACATGTCCCAGAATCGTTTACAGCAAACTGGGTTTCCACAGGGAAGGAGGTCAACATGAAAAACTACTTTTTGCATACAGTATCAGAAGGATTAGTACATAAAGTAGTCAGAGTATGATTAGCCTTTTGATTAATGTCTTCTGGCTAAATGGCGAAAGTCCAAATGGTGTAGGAAATTATAGGTTGTCTTCTGATGAACCAACTGAGTTATTAATTCTGTGGTTATATTTAAATGAGACACCCAAAATAATTTTGGAAATGATGACTAATATATTAATGATAACCAAATATATAATTGCAAAATGTATCCGGTCTAAATGGTTTGCTAATTGCACTTATGCATGTGACTGTTACAATGAAACTCGCACCAGTTTTTGTAATCATTAAACTGGAAGGTCTGTTGTTAGTGAGTGCACGGCTTCCTGTTCATCAGTGACACCAGTGGCAGCTCTCCCTCCCCCCTCCCCCCCCAGCCTTCCAGAGGGCCATCAAGATGCGTTTTTCACCCGGGCATCCCTAGGGGATGAAGGTGGCGGCAGGTTTGGGTGTATGTTTTACAATTTTATGGTTTGGGGGTTTTATTGTTGTTAGAGCTGTCCAGAGTTCTGTTTTTAAGATGATCAGACATGTGACTTTTTAAAATAAATTAAAATCAATGCACTCGCACATGATTTGGGGGAGGGGATTACAACATTACCAGGTGTGTCAGTGACTCCCAGCTGAGACCCAGAGGGCGCACACTGAAAGAAGCCACCGTGCATCCTTTCAGCTAGGACACATGTGGAAAGGGGTTTTACTGGATTGCAACTGGAGTGTCAGCCAGCAGGGTGATGCATCTCTAAGCTTTCACTAGGGGTAGGCAACCTCGGCTCTTTTATGACTCATGGACTTTAACTCCCAGAATTCCTGAGTCAGCTATGCTGACTCAGGAATTCTGGGAGTTGGGAGGTTGCCTACCCCTGATTACTAGGCTGTTCAGATACTCCGGATTTTTGCAAGGTCCTTGAATCCTGGATGGCAACATCTCAGCAAGAAACAGCTATGAGGAATATCACCTCAGGCTCAGATTAACGGGAGCGGTCCTGGGACCAGGGCGTCTTTTGGGGCTTCTGCACAGGAAGAGGGATAATTCACACACACACACACACACACTGCAAAGGACTCATTCAGCCCACAGCTGCCAGGATGGCTGTTTGCACTCCTGCCAGTTCCTGCAGCTGCGAGAACACAATTAATAGTATCTGGAACCTGCTGACTTCCTGACCCCTGCTGCTAAAGTGCCTTGTTGTGATGCCAGCTGGACAAATATTGTAAAACAGTTTCTTTTTACTTGGTCTCCTTTGGAGCCAGGTGAAATAGGAGGGCAAGAGAGTAACCAGCCCCAGGGCTGTCTGCAGAAAGGAGGAGGTGGTGAAAATCCTGGAGCCAAGTCACGGCCAACTCTCCTTGCGTGCAGGCAGGAGACGCTGCACTGGCATCTTGTGCAAGTCGGTGTGTTTCCAGTGCAAGTCACCTGCCCACAGCTTCAATTAGCTGGATGTTCATGGTGCCACTTCTGGGAAATACAGGAGGAGAAAAAAAATATTGAGAAAGTTTCAATGTGCCTGTGTGTGCTCAGGTTGTCTCCTGTAGCAATCTTGGTGGTGTGCCTGGAGCCTGACTTCCATTGCAAGGGGGGGGAGACACAGCACCCCCCCATGAAAGGAGTTGTCATTCGTAATTTCTTGTCTTTCTTTGCAAAGAAGCCATGAGACAAAGAAGCGCGTCATCCACCATCAGGTTAAATAGCAAGTTAAAAGGGTGAGAGAGAACTTTAGCTGCCTTCAAGTAGGCCTCCTCCTAGGGAGCAGGAGAGCAGCCGGAAGAAGACCCTAGAGGGGCTGGGGGTGTGCCAAGGGCAGGCTGGAGGAAGGAAGATGCCCCGGGGGATGAGCCAGCCCCACCTGATTGTCCAACCAGTCCATCCTGCTTTGGTGGTGCTGGTCAGACACGATGAGGTGACCCAAAAGAATGGGCCCAACTCCCCCTTTCTGAAGAGAGAAGCCGAGGTTGGGATGTATAAGCCCTGCCAGCAGGAAGGGTCTGGCCAATGGGCAGGGGACCTTTGGGGAGACCAGGTGCAGGAAGTCCAAGGCCACGTGGCACTGGGTGGAATTCATTTTGCAGCAGATGATTTGCACACACACACCACTTTCTTTTACCCAGAGGAAGCAGGAAGAGGGGCTGCCAGGCCCTCAGACTACTTGTGCTGCTGGGCGTCTTCAGCCGCAAACACCTTTGAAAGCCAGAGTGAATGACAAGAATGCCAGGGAGCGCTTGTGCCAGGAACACCCGCAATGCTCGCCACCCTTGTTATCTAGAACAAACAATCTTAATTAGAGACAAGGGCACCTGGTCAGGGAGACACAGGGCTGGGAAAGCGAACGGGTGGCCTTTCCCCCCCCCCATTCGCTGCACTCGGGTACCACCTTCCGCCCAGCCTCAGGCCCCCCAGCTCAGAGACCCAGCTGGAGTGGCGCATGGGCCCTGGGCTCTCTCTGTCCTTGAGCTCTTTCATTTTCAGACGGGGGGGGGAGCTTTCCAAGGGAACCCAATCCTGCCTGTCCTTCGACTTCCACGGAAAGGCCCGGCCGGCCATTAGCTGAGCCCCACGGCGAGGCGCGGGACCCCCAGGCCTGGGCAGGCGACTTTCTCGCTCCCCAGCACCGGAAGCCCGGGAAGCCCAGCTCTGGCCGGGCGGGGGGGGAGTCGGGGGCGAGCGCTCGCGGTGCCCCTCAGGTGGGGCTGGGGGCTGCCCCGCCCCCGCAGACGGCCCGCTGCTCGCTCCAGCTTGCCACGCTCGCCCCTCTCTCTCTCTCTCGGCAGTTGCGCAGGGACGCCCGTCAACAGCCCTGCGGCGACGCCGGCGGGAGCCCCGGAGGGCCCTGAGCAGCCGCCGCTCCGCCCGGGCTGGGTGGCGCGTGCGGGGCGGGCGCGTGGGCGGAGGAGGGGATGAAGACCGGCGAGAGGCGGCGGCAGAAGCGCAACGGCCGGCCGGACGGGGAGAAGCAGAGGCTTCCGCGGCGGCGCCTGGACGGGACGGACGGGCAGAGCGCGGGACCGGTCGTCTCCCCGGATTGTCGCTGATGGCCCCGCCGCTGCTGCCGCCGGCGCTGCTGCTGCTGCTGCTGGGGCTGCTGGGGCTGGTGCGGAGCGGTGAGTTGGCGGCGAGCCCTCTTTCCCCGCGGGGTGCCCTCCCCGGCGGCGCTGCCGAGGGACCCTGGGCTTGCATGAACTCGTTCGTGGGATGAATCCAGAGTGTGGGTTAATTCGGTAACCAGGTTAAGGGGAGGGTTGGTGACAACGAATTAGTGTTCACTCCTGGCCACTGCCTGGACCGGTCCCTGAAGTTTTCTTGGCCACTTTTTTGGGAAATGGCTTGCCATTGTCTACTTCTTGGGGCCGAGAGGGAGGGACTGGCCCAAAGTCATCGAGCTGAACCCGCGTCTCCGGCTTGATTACTGTGTGTTGACAATGGAGAAGGTCTGGAGGGCGCTGAGTTGCCTCTTCCTGCACTGATCTCGCTGGGTGCTACTTGGTGGAGCAAAGAAACTGGGAGCAGCAGACTTTACCCTTCGCATGATTGGGGGGCGGGCACATTTCCAGGCACAGCTTAAGGGGGTGACCTGCCCAAACGGAGGTCCCAGAGAAAGGGACCCTGCTGCTTTTCAAGGGGCATGTTGGGGGAATTGCCTTGGACTCCCCTCTGGGATGGGCACCGCGCCCTCCCCCGGGGTATTGAGGTATTGGGGTTCCTACGGATTTGCAAGATTGGTGTCAGCCTGTGAGGTAGACCAGACAGGAAACATGACCAGAGGATCCATTTCTACTTTATCCTAATATAGATTGGCAGAATCTTTTTCTCCCAGCACCCCTGGCCCCCTTGCAGGCTGCACCTGGCCTTCCCACGGAGGTGGCTTCCCTTTTTGTGCTGTTTACCTGATGCCGTAAAGCAAAGAGGGAGATGGGAAAAGGCTGTTACAGCTTCCATACGCCCAGCGAGAAGGCTGATGGCAAAGGGGTCCTGTTAGTGCCCCAGGAAGCTGGGGGTGGGGGGGCCTCCGACCTCCTGTTTGAACCCCGGCAACCCACCTTGAAAACAGCCCTGGGCATCTCTTGGGACCTCTGCTGCTGCTGCTGCTGCTACTGGACGTGGGGCTCCTTGGGGGTCAGAGCTTTGGGTGGGTCCTGCTTTGGGGCAGCTCCGTGAATGAGAGACTCTCCTCATGTGTGCATCTTCTTCTCTTGCCTTTCAAGTGGATTGCTGGGGACCGCTAGGCAGCTTTATTGGAATTGCCCCCACCCACCCACCCCACTTAACCAGGAGCAAAGTCAGCTGGGAATGGCAGCAGAGGACAGGCAAGCCCCCCCCCCTGCCCCAGAGCTGCCCTCCTGATGCTGCTTTCCTTCCTTCCCCATGGCAGGATGCCCTTTGGGCAAGACCCCTTCTCGGCCCCGCAGAGGAATCCTCCAGCTGGCTGGGATGATCCGGTGCACTACGGGGCGAACACCCCTGGCCTACATTCGCTACGGATGTTACTGCGGCTGGGGAGGCCGTGGCTGGCCCAAGGACCAAGTCGACTGGTAAGTGCTCCTGTCGGCCTCTTGCCCATGGCCGGTGAGGGCTCCCACTGGGCGCCAAGCAGCCTCCCTCTGGTCTGCTTCTTAGGCTTGGAATCCTGAGGCAAAGGAACTGGGAAGCTGGATTAAAAAGAGAAACTGCCAGATGCCTTTGCTTTTAAGATATCCTGGATCAGCAGTCTTTTTTTAAGTGTGCGCACAGCTGGAGGGATTCTGGGAAGTGGCTGAGCTCACGCCTGCATCTGAAAGTGCAAACGTGGAAGGCACATCATCCTGAGAAGGCTCAGGCGATGCCAAGCCACCCTCCTTACACCACATCCTGCCATCGCTATAAACCAGAATAGAAGCTTCCCCAAAGAGTAATATTTAGCTGTAGTGTATTTTAAGCAGTTGGAAACGCATGTTCTTTCGCTTCCACTAGTTTGGCAAAATGAGACCTTTGCTTCAGTTGCGAAGGTCAAGTCCAGCCAGGAGTGACGGACCCATTTTGGCCAGGAAACATGTTTTCCTTTGTTCATATTTTAGCCCACACCCTGGCTGATATGGGCCAGCTGCCCAGCTTCGTTTTTAAAGGCAGGGGTAGAGGCAAGCTGGGCACCAGTTTCACATCAGATTAAGCTGCCACAGTACCATCACTTCGTGTAGAACTAGGGGCTTTGGATGGCCTCTGGGCGCTCCTCCTGGCCAGCTGCCCTAGTGGACCCCTGGGACTGGCCCTTGAACGGGATGCCTCCAAATCCAGCTCAACTATAAATTATTCAGGATTATTGGGGGAAACTAAAATGAAGTTGAAAGTGAGAGCACTGGGGAATTGGGGAAACCGCCCTCCTGGGCTTTCTGCACAGAAGCCACTTCAGGTGAGAGGACGCAGCTCTCTTGGCGGCCTGGAGCTCCAACTGTCCAAAAGAGCAATAATTAATTCTCCAAAAGTTGTCTTTACCCACACCATCTATCTACATTATAGATATAAAAATGATCACCCACCTGAGTAAGCACCATTACCTATTGCAGGAAGCACAGCGTCCACTCCTGATCAGCAGGCTGAGAGGGGGTGGGTGAGGGGGCTCACCTGAGCTTGGCTCAGTGGGTCTCCTCTGGTTCTGCCAGGTGCTGCTTTAAGCATGACTGTTGCTATGGAAGAGCCGAGGAGGAGAGCTGCGCCCCCAAGACGCGGTGGTACCCCTGGGAGTGCCAGGACGGCAAAGCCAAGTGTGGTGAGTTGCTCGAGAGAAAAGCGGCAGAAGGACAGGCCGGAGCATCCCAGGCGCCCCATCCAGCCTACTTGGAAAGCTTCGTGTGGCAACTCACTGCTTCACTGCTTGTTGGTCTCTTTTCCTTTTGCAGACGACATCGAAGACAAGTGCCAAAAGATGGCTTGTGAGTGTGACCGCAGCGCAGCCAAGTGCCTGGCAAAAGCCCCCTACAACATGACCTATTTGTTCTGGCCAGACACCCAGTGTGGAGAGAAGGGCCCCACCTGTCCAGACGACTGACGCTCTCCTTGCGCGGCTTCTCTGCCTGTCCACCTTCCAATTCAGGCTACTCTCCCTCGGAGGGCCCAGCCTCGTCCTGCTGCACCGGGAGAGTCTGCGGGCAGTGCTGGGGTCTCACTTCCAGGATGTCACCCAGCGCAAGCCCAACTCCTTTGGGATGCAAAATTTTGCACTAGTGGGTAATGGCATGTGGGAATGAGACTGGGCAGAGAGGCAGCCAGGGATGGTCAGATAAAAGGCAACTTAGCCCTCAGCAGGAAAGTGGGAGGAGCAAGAGGGTTAGAAGAGCCCCTCCCTAGTTTTGTGGTTGTAAAGGAGAAGGAGACAGGAGAGAAAGTTTAGGACTTACAAGATTGGTGTCAGCCATGCGAGGTAGAACAGAGAGGAAACACGACCAGATGGACTATTTCTACTTTCTTGTAAAGCTACATTAACAGAATCTTGCAAGTCTGAAAGTCCAAATCTCTCCCCATCTCCTTTACAGCCCAAGAAGCTTGGGAGGGCTTTTCTGACCTTCTTCCCCCTCCCCTGGTCATTCCCACATTCCATTACTGTACAGAAAGAAAGAGCACCCAGGGCGGCAAGGGAGGGCATAGAACAGGACTAGTTTAATGAACATAGCAAGGTTCAACTCCCGTCATCACAGCCTGGACATTGATGATCACCAGGCAGCCAGGAGACCAGCCATTGTTCAGTCCAGCCTACCTCACAATCTAAACAAGAAAGGGAAGGAGGGAATACTGGGTGAAAAAACAAATATTGCTACTTTTAGAAAATATTATTTAATTTGTAAAAATGTTCTATGCAAATTTAAAGATCATGTTAATACAAATGCAGAGTCAAATTTCATTTATAGGGACATCACATTAACATAAAGATCGTCTTGGTTTCACCAGAGATTTAACACAAAGCAACACAGAGGAAATTTAGACACACAGAGAAACCAATTCACCTATTTACACGCAAGGTATCCTTTTCCAAAGAGTTTGCAACCCCTGCTTCAGTCGGCTCAAAGTAAGAGTTTGGATTATGCAAACATTACATCTTCTCTGCCCCCAGGAAAAAGTGCCTCTTGACCCTGAAAAGGAAGTGGGGCACGCAAAGAGCTGCAAAACTAGACGGTTCAGTTACCCATGGAGGAAGTATCAGCTGATTTAGAAGTGCAGAAGGACAGAGCTGATCCCTCAGCATCCTGCCCCCGACGGTGGAGGGTCTGGCCGCCCCAAGGCCAGGGCCCTCTGCCTCACGGGACTTGGGTTTCCAGCCGACGGACTTCCTTCACTACAAGGTCAATGTTAATGATCGGGTTGAAGTACAAAGCCCAGTAAAAGAGGCAATTGCCGGCAAACTGGGGAATAACTGGCCAGAAGATGGCCATCAGGAATCCCTGGGTTGACATTTTCCAGAAGTGGCTCCACATCCGGTAGGGAATTTTCCTGAAGAGGAGGAGGGGAAGAGAGAGAACAGGGTTAACATCTGGGCGTGGCAGCTTTTAGATTCACCCCATCGATATCCCGGGTCTTTTGCAGGCCCTGTTTGTCCTTGCAATACCGGCCAGGCCGGACATATCGGGCTACCCGAGACGGAAAGGAGGGTGGGGGATGAGCTTGAAAAGAAACAAACGGCATGAGGGGGGACTTTTTGCGAAGGGCAGAGCCTAAAGATGGACAGTTTTCAAGTAGGTCCCTCTGAGCAAGCTTCCTCTGTGCTAGAGCAGGAAAAGCTAGGAAAATCTTCCTTTGAGATGGACCAATGTAACTGTGGCCAATAATTTAAGTCTGTCATTAAGACCCCCCCCCCCAGCCAGGAGGGAGGCAAGGGACTCACTTCAGCTCCCGCCTTGACCAGAGCCGCCAGAAGGAGAGCAGCTCCAGCACGGACAGCAGCATAGCATTCACAATGATGAAGCGGGAGGTCCAGTAATGGACCTCCAGCCAGTCCCAAGCGAACTCGGCAAGCAGCTGATAGGGCAGAAAAGCAAACTTCACCAGGAATTCCCGCCACTGTTTCCACACCGGGTCCTTGTGGTCCTGCAGAGACAGAAGACGAGCACCAGCTGCCTCACAGCCCTCTTGGGGGAGCCTCGGCAGCTCCGGAGCAACAGCTGGAGGCGCAGACACCCCTTGCTTCTTGCCAGGGTCGAAAGCCAAACTGCCCGGGACTCCACACTTACGTGCAGTTTTGCAATAACGTCTGCAAGCTCCTCGTCCTCCGGCACCGGGCAGATGGTGTGGATGAAGGGCAGGAAGGTGTTGCTGTAATCCGACAGGTACAAGTACAGCAGGGTGAGCCGAGGGGAGCTCTTCAAAGCGTAGAGCAGGAACAGCGATTTTCCGGGTTGCACCGCCTGCAAGGCCAGGGACATTGGTGGACGAAATGGCCAGGGACTTTGCTCTGCCACTGGCCGGGCTCTCCCAGGCACGATGCTGCTTGCTAGGCCTGGGACGTGAGATGTGGGAGAAGACCCCCTCTAAGTCCCATCAGCCAGGAGGGTGAAGAGGCCAGGGCTGCTGGCCTTCGGTTTTGATCCTCTGGATCAGAACAGTCTGAGCGGTCGAGAGAAACGACCAACGGCTCCACTTGACTCTACAGCAGACACTCACTTTGTACTCCCAGAGGTTTTGTGGCGGCTTCACCCCCCGCATCTTCACCCACTCGAGTTCCATTGTGATGGCTTTTCTGTGGCTGCTGTTCTCCACCTGGTAAGGAGCCTGTCTGAGTTCTTCATCGGTCAGCGTCAGAAGCAGCCTGCAAGATGAACCATTCAGGCAAGAGAACCCACTGCCCGGCTCCAACACTGCAAAGCCCGAAAGTCTCCATCAGAGACTTTTAAGAAGTCTCAGACATTTTCACCCAGAGCAAAGAGAAACTCTAAAGGGAGCAGAAATCCTTGGCGAGGGAGCAGCCAATCGCCTATGACTCCCAAGCAGGCCATGAACATCAGCACGTTTGTCCCCATTTGCACATCCCCTGAGAATGACAGGCAAAGCTTTGTGTTCAAATCCTCCCATCCTCCCTAACGTTCTGACTCACCGTCCATTCACCCTCTCCTGCAGGAACCTCTCCTTGTAGAGGGACGTCCAAGGCCCCAGTTGCCCAAGCCAGTGGGTCACCTCCTCTGCCGTCCATTTGGCGACAGGCTTGTGGACCAGCAGGCCGTCCTCTGACTCCCGGCTGCTCCAATGGTAGCCCAGCAAAACCACCTAAGGGACCAATGGAGAGCATCTGAGGCTGGGCTGGGGAGGGGCTCGGGGTGTTTAAAGCAACTACAATAAGCATCATGTTCAAAGTCTGATTTGACAAGCCAGCCATGCCTGGTGCAAGCAACTTTAAATTATAGCTTAATGTCTTAGGAACACTGTTTTCAATAAGCCACATGTGGCCAGTTCTCTGGGATCAGGCGGCACAAGAGGCCAGCCAGCCACAGCCGCTGCCCTTCAGCCTCGCTTCCTGAGCGCCAAAGAGAAAATGGCAGCCACGGGCGGGGGACAGAAATTGGGTGGGTAGCCAAGCCCCCTCCCTGGTTTCCATGCAGGCAGTCAGAGAACCGCACCGGAAGCTCAGCCTCCTTTGCAGAGACTGCTAGGCTCCACTGCTCAAACGGTGCCCTGCAAGGCCTCCCCCCGCCCCCGTCACGGCAGTGCTTGTGAAAAATGTCCTCGGGGAGCCGTACCGCCACGCAGGTCAACGCGGTCAGGACACCGGAGAAAAAGCCTCCTCCGGGCGGGTTCACCCTCCCGGCACTGGGGGCTGCCGTGGGCTGGTCGCTCCCATACTTCTGAAAGGCAGCCAGACTTTGCGTTGCCTCGTGGTTTTGCAGGATGTCGTCTTTGCGCTGCTCAATGGCAGCCGGGAACAACTTTTCAACGGCATTCCTGGAAGGGAAAAAAACTGCTTGAGCCGACTTTGGTGGTCATGAGCCAGCTCATTAATTTCTGGAAAAGCCTTTTCTAACTTGCAGCGAGAGACACGTCCAAAGCATCCCCTGACTCAGGCCTGCCCAAATCCTTCAACAGGAATCACTTGCTGGTTCTCCCAGTAATCTTTGTTTGGCTCTGCCCACCTTGCAGTGGGCTGGGGAAGGAAGACCCGTCTGCCTTTGGAGGAAGCAATGCAACGTCAGGCTGGCTTCTTACCAAGGCCGCACCCTGCTAAGAGCAGAGGCAACTAGGCCAAAGGACGGCAGTCAGTCACTTCCTCCTGATGTGCCCCAAGGCGCAGTTGGGGAGGCACCAAGGCTCCTGGCCAGGGCAGAGAAATAAGCCCTAGGCCAGCTCGCCTCCCCCCACCCGCTCGCCTCTGGATGTCTTGGGACCATTGCTTGGGTCTCAGCCTGGCAACTGGGGTGGGCGAAGCCGGCAGGCAATGGTCACCTGAGGAGGATGTTGACTTTTGGGAACCCTTCCCATTTTTCCCGGCACTCTGGACACTCGTTCTTCTTGGAAGACGTCCACCATAACGCCAGGCAGTGCCGGCAGAAGCTGTGCCCGCAGTTCAAGGTGGTGGGGTTGATGAGAATGTCGTAGCAGCAGTGGCAGGAGAACTCGCTGACGGAGACCCGCCGGCTGATCCCTGGCGCATCCAGCCTGTCTGCTGGCGAAGGAAGGCTCTCCTCCTCCATGTCTGTGGCTGACAAGAGACGGCAGCGGCCTCACATTCTCCAGCCCCGAGGGCAACTGGAAGATGGCAAAAGAGGCCCCTTTAGTTTCTACACACCTCAGAGACAGGACTTGTTTGTCTCATGGAGAAGTTCTTAGCAGCTCCTGAAATGCTTTCTAGATTATAATTGCTCAAGTTAATAAGGACCATCATTTGTGGAATTTAGATTCATTTTACATTTTGACTATTACCAGTTTTGCCTTCCTTCTGGGTAGAAATGGAACAATATCAATTAACTATGCAACATGAGCATTATAACAATGTCCCCATAGTACTGTGTCTTATGCACACCTAGATTTTTAAGTGGGTCAAAAAGGTGGTTTGATTTAAAGCAACAAGATAAAAAAAACCAAAGTAAGGATATTGCTGATACCCTGAGCATGTAAAGGAACGGTGGAATTGCTTTGTAATAAATCCCCAATTCTGACCGTCATTAAACACGTGGCTGTTTTTTTTACTGAAGTGCAAACATCCTATATCCTAAAAGAACACACCTCTGTGTTGCTACTTCAGTGCAAATCAGCCTCTGAAAGTAGTTCCTCTCTGTCTGCAATCAGTTATTTATCCTCACCTTAGCAAAGCAGACTATTGAGAACAGAATTCCTTGTGAACAGAGAAACTGACCTCAAAGAGAAGCTGGGTTTGACTCTTTTTCCTACAAAGCGGAATTAAAGCAGAGCTCCGAGGCCTTTCGGAGCTCCTTTCTTACCCTCCCAGGCTCACCTGGAACAGGAGAGAATATTCGAGTTCTGCAGCATTTCAGGAGGGAAGTGGGAACGAACTGCCCTTGTTTGTTGTCGAGGCAGAGAGAAAATTCTATTTTGTTCATGCTGGAGCATTATAACACACACACACACAAGCACGGAGGGCTTTGCCGGAGCGGCCGTGGAGGAAGCGGGCAGGCACTCCGGGGCTTCATCCAACAGGACGTAAAGCGTTTTTTACTTACTCTCCAGCGGGAACAAGAGCAACCATCTAGGTATTCACTGAAGGAGTCTCGGGCAAGCGGAGCCTCCCGCTTCAGAGGCAGTCTACCCCTCCCCCCACTTGCAGCCCCCTCCGCCAGGGACGATGGCCACTCGGACCCCCCGGTCGGCCCCAGGGCAGCTGCTCCTGCCCGCAGGGCGGGAAAGCCCTTCCGCACCGCAGGACCCTCCTGGGAGGCGGTCCGGAGGAGCCTCCGGAGGCAGGGGCAGTCTACCTGGGGATGCCAGCGGTGGGGGGGGAGGGAGGGGCGCAGCGACGCGAAGCCACGGGGCCGGGACAAATTGGCGTCAGAATCCCGAGAACGGCCGCTGCCCCACCACCAGCCGCCGCCAGGAGGGCCACGAGACCCCGCAGCGCCGCTCACTCACCGGGGGGCCGCGGAGCCCCTCTGACAGCCACTTCCGCCCGCGCATGCGTACCGCCCGCGCTGTCTCACGCCTGAACCGGCAGCGCGCCTGCGCGAGAGGAGGCGCTCTGCCGAACGCGGACCCACCACAGTGCCCCCTGCCGCTCATTCCCGGGCAGCGCGGCGGGGGGGGGGGCAGGAAGAGCTGCTAACATCCCTGCGAGGTAGTCCAGCTCAGAAGGGCCGCAGCTGCCCCCAGGGTGGTCTTTCGTGGCGGCGTCTGGCGCTTGCGCCACGGAGGGGAGTCTTTCCGCCGCTTTCCTCTCTGCGGACAGCTGCCTCCTGCGGCCCCGGGGTCTTTCCTGGGATGGGGTGTCCCCCGTCCCGTCCGAACTGACTTGTTCCGCCTGTCTCCTGCCCGCCCCCAACAGCCCTCGGCGCGGCGCAGCACCGCGTGGCCCCCCGTCCTGTCCCCGCGGGCTGGGATCGCGCTCCCTCTGCCCCTCCCTCCCTCCCTCCCTCCCCCCTCCCTCCCGCGGCGCAGCTAAAGGGGGCTCCGGGGTCCCAGCGGGCCTGATCTATTCCGGGCACGGCCAGGCGCTCGTGCCAGCCAGGCTCGTCTCTCTGGGATCCGCAGCGGCTTCGGGATGCGGGCGGCGGCGGGGCTCGTGCCCGTGGCCCTGGTCCTGGCGGCCGCCTGTCTGCGGGGCGCCCTGCTGCAGACCCCGGGGGCAGCTGAGCCGCGGCGACCCCTCTTCGAGAAGCTCCGGCGCCTGGAAGCCCAGGTGAGCCGCTCCGCTCCCTCCTTCCCTTCCCTGTCCGCGGTCGGAGCGGGCGCCGGTCCTTTTCCCGCCCCGACGGGAGTCCACGGGGAAGCCTCCCGCGTATATTCCGCTTCTGACCCTAGAAGTGGAGACGGACCGGGCAGCCGCATCCCCTTTCCCCCGGGGGAGGACGCGGTGCCCGGTCTCCACGGCTGGCCTCCTTCTCTTTAGTCAGACTTTCTGCTTGGCTTTGATCTCCTGAAACGCGACGGCGGCTCCTCCTGGGGGTTCCTGCTCTCCCCTTCGAAGCTCCTGTTTGTGTGTTGAGGGTCACTTTTTCCAGGGGGCGTTTTCAGCGAGTTCACTATCCAAAAGGCCAGTAAAATCGGGCCAGAATGATGGACTCGGGAGCAGGAAAAGGCTGCGTGTTGAACTCGGCTGCCAGCTTTGACCCGAGCTTATTATGTGGTACTTATTCTGCTATCCGAGCTCTCCTTTTCTTAACCAGCAACAAATAAGCGATCCAAGCACATTGAGTCCCTTAAGGATGCTGCTTCTGTTCTTGAGCCCCAACAACCGCCAGCTTGAGGGGGGGGGGACTGTTTCCAGCCAGATCCAACTGGATAGAGAAGTGGGGGTCCCCAGAGGGGAAAAGGGAGCCTGGCGATGTCTGCCTGACAACCGGCTATAATCGGCAAGAATAAATAAAGTGATGGAATCGTTTCAGGGAAAATAAAGGAGGAACTGCAGCTCAGAAAAACTCCCAATTTTACAGGGCCCAACAGGCAATAATGGGGGGGAGGCAGGGGGGGAAGTTGCCAATCCTCCTCCTCATTACAGTTCCCTTGGGTTCCCACAGCCTGGGAGACTGCGGGGGGATGCTCGAAAGCTCACACCCCATTGTGGCTCCAGCTCCCTCCCTCCCTTGCTCAGACCCAGGTCATGTTTCGCTGCAAAAGTTAGTGACAACAGCTGGTGGTGTGATATATAAGCATTTCAGGTTTTGCCAGAGGCCATTTTAGGCTAAGATTAGCCACAGATATTGGCCCAGCAAAATATATTTCTGCATTTTTGGATGGATTTAAAGAAGGCTATTTTGTGAAAGTCTTTCCTGGGTCTGGGCTTTCTTGCCAGCCTGGGCCTCCAGAGTCTTGTACTGCAAACCCCATCAAGTACAGCCAGAGTGTCCACTCCCCGTGATAGTTGGGGTAAGAGGAATGGTGGTCCACATTTAGACGAGCTGGCTGAGGGAGCCAGGGCACATGAACTAATACAGATTGCCACAAATAGCCCGACCATTTCAGGAGAAGACAAGAAAACGACCTCGGGACATCTCAAAACTTCAAAACAACGAAATATTTGCCACCCGAAATAGCAAAATTAGCACATTGATCGTTACACTCACCAACCATTTTCAGTTAGTGCTATAAATAATTGTACTTGTTATGGTAAAAATACAACTTCCTAAATATAGTTGAGATTACTCAGTAGCTCCAACGAAGCTGGTGGAAAAATATAATGATGTATTTTGGTCCAAATATCTGGCCGCTGGCCGGTGTCCTTATGCAGTGACATGTCTAAAGGCTTCATAGAAACTTTCTATATTAGTTCAACACCATCGGTAGGTATTGGAAGGGAAACCCCCCCCCATTTTGTTCTTGTTTTGGGACCCTGACTTGGTCCTTTTGTTTTGCTCTCAGAGGGCATCTTGGGCAGTGCTTGAAGCCATAGTCTGAGTCCCACCTCTGGACACGTTCAGAAATGCACATTTCTAATGCCGTGGGGTGCCGTAGAGTGAGGCTGCAAAGACAGGCAGGAAAAGGGGCCTTCAGTCCTGGGCTTTTGCCCCCTTCCTCTCTGGCTTCCTCACAGAGAAGCCAGAGATACCAAATGAAGGGCCCCGAGGCTCTCGGTGCTATCATGCCTGTGCCTGTCCTAGGAAGGAGCGGATCCCGCTTTTCTTGCCCCCACCCGTTTCCCCATGCTGTTGTCCTGGGCCTCCCCTCTGCCCTGGGCTTTGAGGGGCCTGACCGGACTCCTGTTTCCCAGTTCCGATGGTTTCAGGAGGTCACCCTGACGCGTCTTCAGGAGATGGCAGAGAACTACAACCTTTCTCACAGTCTGCACACCAAGATGGACCAGCTGCTGCAGAAGCAGGAGAGCCTGGAGCTGGTGGCCAACGGGTCCCGGGCCTCCAGCCAGGAGGAGCTGCATCGCTTACAGGCTTGGGTAGAGAAGCTGGAAAGGAGTGGCAAGAAGCAAGCGCTGAGGATCCGAGCTCTGGAAGAGGCCTGGCAGGAGACGCTGCAACAGCAGCCGAGGCCACAGCAGGAGAGCCGCCTGTCCAACCTCACCCAGGAGTTCAAGAGCCACCGGCAGGACTTCTGGCACATGGCTGTCCAGCAGCGGAGCCTGCAGAAGGCCTTGGAGAGCCTGCAGGATGCCCTCCGGAGCCAGGGAAGCAAGCTGGGCAACATCAAGCGAAGGCTGAAGAGTCTTAAGCAGAAGGAGGTGCTGCCCAGTCCTTGGACTGCAGCCCGTCGCTTCGGTTCAGAGAAAGCACCAGAGGCGGTTGGAGGGCAGAGCCCCACCTCGAAGAAGCTGGGTGCCAGGCATCGCCAGCAGGGGGGTGACCTGGAAGCCCTGGCCAAGAGCCAAGCGGCACTGCAGAGAGGCTCCCTTCTGAGCCAGGAGGCTTCCCCGCTTCAGGTGGATCCGGGTCCTGCCTCTTCACCTGAGCAGCAGATCCTGGAACAACCGCCCCCTGGCCCAGCCAAAGCCCCTGCAGAGGAGAAGCCTCCAGGAAGGCCTCGGAAACCAGGGACAAGTAGGTATAGAGGGGAGGGTGTGCTGATGCATGAATGCTGCGAGGCTCCTTAAACTTCGATGCAGTGGCCTTTCTCGGCCTTAAAATGTGCTGGAGGCTTATCTGGCCAAAGGCCACCCTTCAACCCTCTGCCTCAGGAGGCCAAGTTGTTTCCACAGGTGGAACTTTCCTTTTGGGGAGACACTTGCGCGGACTTAGAAGCTGCTGCTGCTTCTGCCTGCTTCTAACTTGGAGGTGCTTTAGCATTGTACTTTGCTTTTTGTATTTTATCTGCTGTAGGCTTTTTAAACATTGTCTGGGCCCCGAGTGACATGCACGCTTTAGATTGGAAATCTTCTATGTAACTGTCACCACCTGAAGTAAAATTCTGAACTGGAGCCCCAAGCTGTGGTGACCCAGAGCTGCTCTTTCTTCCCTGCAGGGTGCAACGTGGATGCCATGCTGGTCTTCCCCAACGCTTCCACCGAGAACTTCGTAGCCTTCCAGCCCGGCCTGCAGACCAGCTTGCTGGAACTGAGCCTCTGCAGCTGGGTGAGGACCAGCGCCCGTTACCTGGGCACCATCCTGTCGTATGCCACAGAGGAGAACGACAACAAGCTGGTGCTCCATGGCAGGGACGCTGCCCCCCGAAACTCCATCCATTTTGTGATTGGCGACCCCGCTTTCCGGGAACTGCCAGTGGGGGCCGTCTTGGACGGCAGGTGGCACCACATCTGCGTCATCTGGTCCTCCCTCCAGGGGCGCTACTGGTTCTACCTGGACCGTCGGCTGGCCTCCCTGGGCTCCAGCTTCCAGAAGGGCTATGAGATTCCGCCCCAAGGGTCGCTGCTCCTTGGCCAGGAGCAAGACACGCTTGGCGGAGGGTTCGAATCCTCTGAATCATTCGTGGGGCTCCTGGCGGGCTTTGCCATGTGGGGCCGAGTGCTGCTGCCTGGGGAGGTCTCCAGCATTGCCCTCGGAGAAGACCTGCCCCACGGGACGGTGCTCACCATGGCCAACGTCTCCATGCTCAGTGGTTCTGTGCGGAAGGTAGACTGCCCCTGCCTTGAGCACTGCCTGTGAACACCCCCCCCCCGGGAAGCCCGGAGGCTGCCCACCATCCCCGCTCTCACCCCAGAATGAGCTCAGTTGGATTTTCTCCAGAGAAGGGACCCTGCCGAAGGGGCCAGGGCAGTGGTGGGATTCAAATATGTGAACAACCGGTTCTCTGTGTGGATGCCGCTTCCGGAAGTCCATTCTGGGCCTGGGCAACAAAAAATTAGCTACCAATTCTGCCAAAGTGGTGCGAACTGGCTGAATCCCATCACTGGGCCGGGGTCAACCTGAAGGCAGCAGCTAAAACCCCAAAGTTGCTCTAGGCCTCCCTTAGAAGAAGCCATTCAAGCCCCAAAGCAGGATTGGCGCATCTGTACAGTATTTCCTAGGATGGTCTTCATCCCACCTGTTTCGGCTGAGGGAGCTTCCCCTGCTCTCCCTCACCTCAGCCCCTTTGACTCCGGACTCCAAGACTGACTGGCCACCAGTAGTTCATATCACCCAACTGAGGGACGGGTGGTGGGCCTGGGGCAGGATAGCTGGCACTCTGGCTCAAGTCACCCAGCCAGCCTCCCCTGCTCAAACAGCAGCATCGGGCGCCCGGTTACACCAACTGCACAACTGCAGAAATATGGAAGAATAGGCTCCACGCATTGCCGATTTCCAGTATATTTGTGCAGGGGACGGGAACTGCTCATCACTCATCTGTCTGATGTTCCAATTTCTTCCTTCTGGCCTGGGGGCAGGGGTAGGAGGTTGGACATTTTTTTCCCCTCATCTGCTATTTTCATAATTTTTTAATAAAAAAAGATGGTGGGCATGGTTGATAAAGTACATTAGTTTCTCCCAAGATGAGAGTTTCTTCTTACATTTCTGACGCCAATTGTGATTCCCTGCCTTGCTTAGCTTGTGTAATGTACTGGAGAGAACCAATTAATTTCATGGTTGAAAACTAGGGTTTTGACTTGGAGCAATAAATATTTATTCAAGACCTGGGACATCCCACTCTTTCCATCAGATAAGTAAAAAATATTCAGTGTGACGGAGCTTAAAAATTTGAATTTCCCTATTTTTTTTAATAAGAAAAAAGACCAGACTGAATGCTCGAGAACTGGGACCAGCCCCGCCAGCGCTCCGTCTGAGGGGCGCTGCAGCTGGGGAGCCCGCGGGAGGAGGAGGAGGGCCAGCTTTGGAAGCTGCCCCGCCAGGGAGCTGCCGGCTGCTGGACCCTCCATCGGGTCCTTCCAAAATGCTCATTCCTCGCAACGCCCCATCTTGTCGCCACGCCAAAAAACACCCTCGGGAAAGGGGCATCGCTGTCCTCCCCGCCCGTTTAGAAGAGCGCCGGGCGGGCGGGCGAGCAGAGGGAACCCGGTGGGGAAGGAAAGGAGAGGTGGCTCCTCCGGGCCCGGAAAACCCCGGTCCGGCGTGGCCGTGAGCAAGCAGCGCCCTGGCCCCGAGTTAGCCCGCCGCCTGTGCGCCCTCCCCGCCTGGCTCGGGCTCCCCGGCAAGGACGCTGCGCCCCGAGCTGCAAGCGGGGAGCCGCGCAGGGCGCCCCGGGTGGCGGCTCGGAAGCGGCGGCGGGTCCAGCGAGGAACGAGCATCCCGACGCAGAGGGGCGCGAGGCAGGGCAAGGCGGATGCCGGCGGCACCGGGACTCCATCCCCCGTGATGCTCCGGGGCGGGCGAGGCGGGCGGGTCACGTGACTCGCCAGCTGCGGCAGGTCACATGATCGCCGCTCGCTCGCTCTCGAGTCGGCCGGCCTGCGGAGCGGCGATGGCGAACGTGGCGACCCGGGTGTCGTGGTCTGGCCGGGAGGGAGAGGCCGAGGGCCGGGGCGAGACCACGCCGCTGCTGAACGGCACGAGCGGGCAGGTGAGGCTGGCGGAGCCTCCGTGGCCAGGAGAAGTCCATCGCTGGGCGGGGCGAAGCCCAAGGCGCGGCCAGCCGGGCTCCTGGTCCGGGGACAGGCGGGGCTGGGGGATTTGAGCCTTCAGGAGCGTTTCATAAGATTCCTGAGCATGTGTAGAATGCCTTTCCCACTCCTACAGGGAATGGCGCACGCCTGGGCTTCCAAGCAACCTTGGCCCGGGGTCCCTGGGGCTCAGCAAAGACCATAGCTAGAGGGACAGCGCTCCTCCAAGCCCTGCCATCCAAAGCTGTTGGCCGGGACATTCTTCAGCCAGGAGAGGGAAAGCGGCCTGGAAGTTGGAAGTTGAAGGCGTGAGAAGGCGCCAAACAGCCTCTGGGAGTGGGGGCCTGGGAGAGGCTGCCAAGGTCCTGTTGTGATGCCTGTTGGCGATCCAGTGGTGCTCCTGGAATCCCTCCCAGGCTTGTTTCCTGTGCCCAGTCAGGCAGCGCTTGGGGCATTGGGATCCCGGCCATTCCTGGGGAGCCTTTGTACCATTCTCTGTACTCTCTGGGATGAGGGGTTTGTTTCTGGAGGGGCCCCAAGTGGCACAGACAATCCTTTGCCCATCAGCTTGGTGGCAATCTGTGGGCAGTTTCTGAAAGCCGACTAGCTCTGGCTCTTTTTCAGCATGTTGACACTACTAACATACAACAGTTTCACAAAACAGTCTCTCTATTGCCTAAAATATTGCTCTAAATTTGAAATATTTCAATCTGCCTGTCCTGCATCCTTCGGTCATAGCCAAAGCAGGCCAGTTATCGGAAACTGCCACAGATTGCCACAAAGCTGACAGGCAAAAGGTTGTCTGTGCCAGCCACCATTTGGGGCCCCTCCAGAAACAAATCCCTCATCCAAGAGTGCAGAAAGTGGCACAAAGACTCCCCGGGAATGGCTGAGATGCCAATGCCCCAAGCACTGTCCGATTGGGCACAGGCAACAAGCCTGCAGCGGCTTTGTGAATCCGTTTCCCATGACTTTTCTGCTCTTCCTTCCGCTTCCGCCCACCCCCACCATCCTTCTCCCAGTGCAGCAGAATGAGGCTTTTCATTCCCTGCTGGAACGTCACACACTCAGGGATGAAAAGGGAAATGTAATAATTGTTCGTACGGCCCACATGCTGTTGATAAAACAGCCCTGCTGCCTGCGGAGCTGTTGGGCTTCCCAGGGATAAAGCGTGGTTGCCCTGGATCCTTTCAGCCCCGAAAGGAGCTGGGCAGCTCAAGCAAGACAGATGTGTTTTGCCTCTGCAGCTGAGCCCTTCTTCGTCTTCCTTGCGATTTGGGCGCCTGAGCAATGTGGATCTTGGGGACCACGAGAGCACGGTGAGCAAGCCATCCGGTGGGAGGGGGGGGCAGCAGAATGTGGCTAAATCCAGAGTCTTGACTGATTTGAATTCTGGGTCCTTGCAGGAAACGGAGGCCCCTCGGTCCCTCCCCAGCGAGATTCCACACAACGACAAGCTTCTCTCCCTCAAGTACGAAGTGAGTGCCCCTGTTCTTCTTGGGAAGGGCCTGGGGTGGGGTTGCGGTCACCCTGGAAAGGGAGCCCTTCTTCCAGTGAGCCGGAGGCAAAGCTGGCGCTTTGTAGCTGGGCTGGGGGTGTCCACTTCTCCTGAAGGGGTTCTCCATCTTTTGGCCCCCTGCAGAGCTTGGACTATGACAACTGTGAGAACCAGCTCTTCTTGGAAGAGGAGAAGAGAATCAATCACACGGTGAGCCTGCCTCTCCTGGGCATCCCAGGGGCTGCTCTTGGGCCCCCTCCTCTCTGGGGCACAAACCATCGGCTACGTTCCTTGGATCTGCACGTCTGAAGAGCCTCAAGGGGAAGCCAGTGGACACTCTCCCTGCTGCAGCCACAGCTCCGGGATCCTCTCTCCCTTCTTTTGGGGGTGGGGGCGATTCTCCCTGGCTTCCTAATGTTGTTCTCAGCTGCTCCTGTGGCCGAGACTGGAAGGGGACTTCTGGCAGCCCAATTTATCCTAATCAGCTCTGCCAGGAATGAGGGAGGGTGCAGAGGGCTGAGCTAAGCCTTGAAAGTGGGGGAGGGGGAGGCCCACCCGCATAGAACAAGGAGGGAGACCTTGGTTTGCCCACATCAATGGCTTTCAGGTAAAGGTAACGTCAGATCTAGAACCTTGCTTTGTCAGTGGCCATGCTGCCTTCTGGACCACTGTGCAGCAAACATCAAAGCCTGTCTGAGAAGGGGGGGGCTGGACTCTGATCACCGTCCCCCCCCCCAACTATACAGGCATTCCGGACAGTGGAAATTCAGCGCTGGTTCATCTGTGCCATGATCGGCATCCTGACCGGGCTGGTTGCCTGCTTCATCGACATCATGGTGGAGACCTTAGCTGGACTCAAGTACAAACTGGTGAAGGGCAGTATCCTTGAGGGGTGCAATGGGGCAGGTGGGGGTTCTAGCTGCAGGGGAATTCCTCCTCTTCCAAGGCGTTTTCCTTCTCCTCCCCCTCAACGCCTCCCCCCGGGCCTATAAACATGGATTCCAAACTAAAAAAACCTGAGCCCAATCGGCACCTGTCTGCTTTTCCTTAAGCTTATTTTTGCCCAGATATTGACAAATTCACCGAGACGGGACGCCTCTCCTTCTCTCTGCTCCTCTGGGCCACTGTGAACGCAGGCTTTGTGATGGCCGGTTCCATCATTGTCGCATTTCTGGAGGTGAGGCCTCGCTCGGCTTGCACACACCCTCCGTGGTGGCAGCTGGGCCGCCGTGACCGAGTGCTTTGTCTCTGCAGCCCGTGGCCGCCGGCAGCGGAATTCCACAGATCAAGTGCTACCTGAATGGAGTCAAGATCCCCCACGTGGTTCGGCTGAAGGTCAGGAGCGTAGGGTTTGGTTGTGTTGTGGTTCTCCGCAAGAACACACACCGACCGACTCTGCTTTGATAAGGGAGAGTTGTCATGTGGCGTTCCAAGCTTCGGGCTTTGGCAGCCAAGCAGCAGCGAGTCAGGGAGGACCGTCCCTTTTGGGGTGCAGAAATGCTTCTGGCAAGGGTTGGGGTTGGGGTCTTGTGGAGTCTGGCACCTGCTCAGTCCTGTGGGTGCCTAGCTTGGAAGGGAGAGCAGAGCTGCCCTGACCCGTGGCATCCTGTGTG